GTGGTTTTTCCTTTCACCCCATGACGTTTTTTTTGTAGTTTCTTTTCTTTAAATGTCCCAATATTTAAAAAAACAAGTGCTCAAAACGTCCAGCTTCAAGTTATTATTGTTCCACGTACACATTCAGGATCATTGGTGGCGACAATGGACAATGCTGTATGTATGAAGTGGAGATGCACCACGCCTGAGACAAGAAATGAACGGCGTTATTGACCATTCACAAAACCCCATAGAAAAAAAGTGAAATAAATATGGATCAACGAAATGCACTGTAGAAGTATTTTGGTTTTTCCACAAACATAAATAAGCCATCAAGTGTTGCTGGGGTGTTGTAATATTAAAAATGCCACAGACACTACGCTAATTCATCCCATTGTTTCTGATGTTACAAAGATTAAAGTAAAAACATCGGTTCAGGAATCTTGTTCTGATGAAGGCAATTAGATTATGCACAACAATAAGATGCCATTTCTGGGTGCGGACTGTCCCAAATTCATAGGTTGTTCCATTTGATGTTATAACCAGCCCTTTTCTCAAGAAATTAAGATTAAAAAAATGAAATCGAATGTTCTGAATTCTGTCGTCTTGATCTCATTTTGGCTGTATTAAAACCAGATTTGCCAATGGAACAACCACTTATACCTTAGAGCAGCAGCATTTTGTGTCTTGAGTGAATAAGTGCTTGTATTTTTGTATTTTAATATATAAATTTTTTAGCTTAAACAAGACAATTAGCACTTGTTACATTGGCAAATCTTTCCTGTATGGCTAAAGGTGTAACATTGAGATAAAAAGCCATTTATCTTGGGTAATGAAAAGCAGTTTATTAGACTGCAGTGTGTCTATCCCCGATCGACGCCAAATGTACCACGTTTCTTGCTGAAAACGGGTCTTTTTATGTCCCTATTTTTGTGTCTGCGCTGTGTGAGCTCAGGCAGCGTGAGTGGGAGGAATATCCACGCACACATTTCATTCACAGGCGGAGGACAAACTGCAGATGGACAAAAAAAAAAAACCCACGCTTTCACATGACGTTTTTGCTCTAAAAAAATAAAAAGTTTGACAAGTAAAGCAAGAAAATAAAATCACAATATTTTCTTGCTTCAGTTACCCCCACCCCGCCCGAGCAACATATATTTTCCGTGTTCCCCCTGATTATATCTCTCTGAGGACAGTGACGTAACATACAGGCTAAAACATGGGCTCTTTGAAGACACCTGCTGCCCACTCACATCAATACATTTTGCCTGTAGTGTTCTGGACTAACGTGGCTACACATTTTCAACAAAAGAAAAAAAAAAAAGCAGCAAATTCACCCTAAACAACTAAACAATCCAATGCATATACTTTTAATATAATATATATTTTTGTATTTTTTGGTGTACCTTCGTCATGCGCTAACAAGAGACTGGCTCTTCAAAATGACATTCAAAACCATCTCCTTCAACCCGAGGTCTACAGCGGCCATTTCTCTCTTTTCTATTTTTTTTAACTTTAGCTGTTTTTTTGCCCTATTGATTTGAAGAAAGTTTGAAAAAAAAAAAAAAACAAAATCAAGCGACCACAAAGAAAACAACAAATGTCTTTTGTAAATAGGAGCACCATGTCGTGAACATACAGCAAAGCCAGGAGGCACAATTGTAGACAGTCTAAATAATCGACTAATACAGTTCCAACAACCTCTCAACGACCACACAAGAACATAAGCTATGACTAATTAAATAGATTTCTATATATTTAGTGCTAATAAATACATTTGTTGATAGACATAGAGCTCTCTCTTTCAGCTATTTACATTAAAAGTTCTGTCTTTTACGGAAAAAAAAACAAACAATAAATAAGCGATCATGAAGGCAAGGGGTAGATAGGGTATGACATCTGTGGTGGCTTTTGGACACGCAAACGGACATGGGAGGATTAAAGCTGGGGTACGTGGCTTTTAAAAATGTGAATTACAAACCATATTATAGTCAGTTTGATTCTAGCACAAGTTTTCACATGTGTTTTGGCCTCTGTCACAGCTTTTTCAAACAGAAAAGCAACAAAAAGAGGACTGCTCTGATTTGTTTACACCCATTCATTAGGTCAAACGACATGTGTAACTTGTGGGGAAAGAAAGTTAGATACCTCAGCTTTAATTCATGACGTCTGGTGCGGGTTTGCTCCGAGAAGCCGGTTCAGGCAGGTGTAGTTCACCAGACTACTTTTGCCTTTTTCTTTAAAATAAGCCCAAAGTTCAAGTGTGACAAGACAGCTCAGGAGAACGGCACGGTTTAGGCTGATGAAATGCAGACAAAGCAGCTTTTCTAGTTTCCTAAAATTAAAGTGTTTGGTTGTAATGTTCCCCGGTGTGGCATTGAAAGAGGCCGGTCAACCTAATGTAGTAATTCATGTTTTTGAGCAGTAAAAATATTGTACACGTTTATACAATACCGAGGGAGAGTCCAAGCAGAGCAAAAACACCTCCAAATAAGAACATCTCATTTTTAAGGTGAATAAGTTAGGTTTATATTGGCAAAAACTATGTTAAAAAAATTCATAAAGACTAAGAATATTATTATATATATATCAAGTAATTGCAGCCATTTGATAACTGGTTAATACAAACAAGTTCTCAGGTTCGATCATCTTTAAATTAAAATTTTACACTTTAAAAGATTTGCGTACTGACTGGCAGATAAAGAGCAATGACACTCTCACTGGGTAACTTTTCAGCATGTGGGGGAGAAATACTAACACTGCAATTAAGAAACAAAAGCAATTTAAAATTATTGTTTGTATGTGTTATAAATTGTATATTTCAAATGCTGTGAAAGTCTTCGTTCATTCACAGAAACATGTTTTTCTCATTCTAAGTGAGAAATTGCAATAGCTATGCTTGACCTAATGGCAAATCTCACTTTTTAAGACATCAAGATACTATTTTTATCAGAGTGCCTCGGATTTCACCCTGTCTTCTTTGGAAAAAGGTATCTTGGTTTTTCAATGTCATTTTTCTTCCTGAAGAGCACCTGATTTTAATTACTTTTTTGGACCCTGTAGCACTCATTCCTCCTGTTCTCTCAAGATTCTATGTTCCAAAATAATTTCTCAACTTTTGTGCAGTGAAGGATCATCTTTTTCACACGTGGGGAAGCGTTAACATCTCGACAAAAAGGTGAAAGTGTGAAAACCGTGCCGTGCCGAACTGAACTGTCGCCGCACTTGCTTCAGGCTTCAGTGGAATGTTTCAATCAAAGTTACCCCAAAAACACAAAGAACCCGAGGCAACGTAAGCCAATGACTGCTTTTGTTACACGGACTTGATCTTGATTTTTACAACATTCTAACGGTCTTAAAACAAAATTCGGACTGGAGATCTGGAACTCGAAAATAATAAACGAGACTCTTTATGTTTGGTCTATTTGGCGAATGTTGTTTTTAGACAATCAGAATCGTTTGTGTTCGAATCCCCATGAGTCTCAAGCAGAGCAGAGACCACTCTTCCTGGACCTATTCCAAAAAACTGTTATTGTTTTTTCCGTCGCCATCGCGGGCCAAGAGATGATCAAAGAAGTACACTCTGGTTTATGAGCGCCACAGTCTTCAGAGAGAGGAAAAGAAAACAAAAGGACCCCCCCCGCCAAGCCCCTTCATAATCTCATGCTGCACATATATTTTTCAACTTTTTTTGTGAGTTTTTTTGTTGTCTGCTTTTGAATCACAGGTGTGGACATTTACAAGGAGAGAAAGAGTTTATAGTTGTCGGGCTTCGTACTATTGCTGTCGACAGTCTTGGCTTGTTGTCCACACGAGACTCACAAAACTTTTGATTATACACCGTTCAAGGTCGGCGAGGGCTCCTTAAAGAGACAGTGTAGTAAAAGATGACGCTTTACAAAAGTGCAAAAGTCCCGCGCGCAGACGGGCGGACGGTGCTATAACTTTGGGACCACGGTCTCGCCGGTGTTTTTCGTGAGTGTGCGCCTGTCTTGCGCCCTGGGTGAATCTCTGTAAGTGCTTCCCATGGCTCTGGAGGCGTAGAAAAAGAGGCAGTGGGACATTGTGTGGTAACATTCTCTGGCTGAAAAGGTGTGTTTTGTTGCTGTGGAGGACGGAGCAGGTGGGGAGGGCGACGCGGCCGATGGAGTGTGGATGAGAGCCCGCTCGTTTTGATTGGTGATGAGCCGAGCGGGTTGATTATGGACTAAGCGCGTCTGGCTGGGTGTTTGTGTGCGGACTTCACTGCAAAGCGCAATATCTTCAGAAGTTAAAATGACTTTAAAATGGGCTGCCTAACTTTTCTATTAATTGTTTCATCTTAAATGTTATCGCACCATAGAAAGAGCCGTGTGTTTGCTGATTGGCTCGAGCCCTATTATCACTTTGCACTCTGAAGTAGCGGATCTAAAACTGAGCAAAGACCAAAAATACATGCTTTGGAAAACTAGAGGCGAATATCAATTTTTGCCGTTTAGATTATCCATCCATCCATCCATTTTCTTCCTCTTAATCAGTTTCTGGGTGGGGTGGCAGTCAGAGCTGCACCCAGTACACACAGCACCATGTTTAGATTACTCGAGTAAAATAATTCTCTAGTGAATTTAAGTGCAAACTGTTGGACCCTTTCTTGTTTTAGCAGCAGATCATGTCTACTCCAAAAAAGTTAATATTCGTTTGATTAAGGCAACATTTATCTTGATACAAGTATGTTTCAACATATAAAAAATTTGATTTGCAGATGAAACAAGTCTTGTTTTGTGCATGATAGCAGCTTTTTTCACTCCATGGGTGTGGCCCAGATTTGTCCAATTATTATGAACCCGGCTAGGTTAGTGTGGCCTGGTTAGTCTTGATTTAAACAAAAGCTCTCAGACGGCCAAATAACACTCAAATACGGATAAAAACTAGCACTGATTATGAATATTTTTTGTTTTTGTTTTTACATTTTAGTCATTCCAACTCTGGATGGATATTGCTTTTGCCTTGTGGTCAACATGAAGGGCAGTGTGGGCGGGGCATTAGGAGGTCAGCAGGTGCGGCTTGAGCCTGTCCTGAGGGTCCTGAGCGTTCTGCAGGTGGGGCAGGCTGGCGCTGGAGTAGCCCTCGTCGCTGCAGCTGCTCCGGAGGCTTCCCCGCTCGTCCCCCGAGTCGCTCACGCTCGAGGTGCTCCACTCCAGGTCACCCAGCAGGAAGTCTGTGCCCTCCACGTCCACGTCCAGGTCCTCTGTGAAGCCCGCAACAACACAGGGTCAAGGTCAAAGAAAGCAACACACAAACACACAACATACATACAACACAGATATCGCAATGAACTGGAAATCACTAAATGTGAACTCAGGATTTCAGTGGTTTCTGACTTGTTCCCTCTGATTTACTGGTTCCAGCCACAAGAGGAATATTGTGTATTTGTGTATTTAATTATGCTTCTGGATCTACTTCCTAATAAATACTACTTCCTAATAAGTTCTTTGTACTGCATTACCTGGGGTAGTGTCCCGGGACCTCACTTTAGGAACCTCTGTTTAAATATACGTCTTCTTGAGAAGCCTTTTTTGAAACCCTCATCACTGGGACAGACCATAAAACTGATCGGACCACACAGGAGCAGACCAATTTAATTTAAGTTGAATTAATAATAATAATAATAATAATAAACTTAAAGGGGAGGAGGTTTTTGCAGCTCCGCTTCTAAGCAAATGCAGCTTCCCTTTCACAAGCACTCACAAATGTGAGTAAATAATGTCAAGAATGAATGTTTTGTGACTGAAGAGAATTGAGTTAATTTGAATTGATGACAGACAATAACGATAAATAAAAAGCAAAATCAACATATACACTTGGCTCGTGTTTCAACGCCTCGGCGCTAAAACTGGACCTGAGTGGGACTGACCAGCGCCAACACAGCTATTGCAATGTTTACTTTGCACTGAACAACCTCAATTTTTTTATTTTAAAAGTGAGTTTGGTAAGAGCCAAATAATTGTTAGTTGTATGGTAAAGTCCCTCATGTTGTTTCCATGGTGACAGCTATGTACAGTTACAGCTTCATGAACAAAGGGCTGTGTTTGAGCAATGCTTTCTCCATCACTCTGGGCCAAATTTAGTTTCCATGGGAACAATAAGAGGTTAGACCTTTAAAATGCCTGTAATAATGAAGCAATGAATCATGAGCTGCAAGTTTGGATTTAAATACTGTTTTAAATATACCATAATACTGTATAACCTTATTTTTATACTTATATTAGATATTTATTTGCTCAAAACGTTTTCGTTCAAGATCATGTATTAAATTCTAAATCCTTTGGTGAGCTACCTGAAAGGGGCTGGCGAGCTACTGATAGCTCCCGAGCCACAGGTTGGAGACCCCTGCTAAAGCTTGTTCCATTTTAACATCAGCATTTTCAGACAGAAACGTTATATTCACAGATATGTATTTTCTTGAGTACTTCTATCCAGATTTTTATATTCTCACAATATTATCTTATTATTATTATTTCTAGATTGTTACTTTAATGTTATCTTTGATGTTATCTTTCATACTATGCAAGCTACTGTGACAACGTAATTTTCCCTTGTGGATCAATAAAGTCTGTCTAAGTCTAAAAAGCCAAAAGCGTCAAATAGTGACTCCCAGGGCTCTTTCTTACAGATAAAAAAACCCAAAAAACTTTCCTAATACAATGAAGACAGCCATTGTGGTCCGAAGCATGACATTGTAGTTTAAAAAGATTCTTTGTGTTGGGACCAAATATACACATATTTTTAGGTGTTGGTGTCTGTGCGTGTATGTTCGTCTGTGTGTGTGTCAGAATGTGTCTGTGTGAGTGTGTTCGTCTGTGTGTGTCTGCATGTGTCTGTGTGAGTGTGTTCGTCTGTGTGTGTGTGTGCATGTGTCTGTGTGAGTGTGTTCGTCTGTGTGTGTGTATGCATGTGTCTGTGTGAGTGTGTTCGTCTGTGTGTGTGTACATGTGTCCGTGTGTTCGTCTGTGTGTGTGTCAGCATGCGTCCGTGTGAGTGTGTTCGTCTGTGTGTGTGTACATGTGTCTGTGTGAGTGTGTTCGTCTGTGTGTGTGTCAGCATGTGTCCGTGTGAGTGTGTTCGTCTGTGTGTGTGTACATGTGTGTGTGAGTGTGTTCGTCTGTGTGTGTGTACATGTGTCTGTGTGAGTGTGTTCGTCTGTGTGTGTGTGCATGTGTCTGTGTGAGTGTATTCGTCTGTGTGTGTGTGTGCATGTGTCTGTGTGAGTGTGTTCGTCTGTGTGTGTGTACATGTGTCTGTGTGAGTGTGTTCGTCTGTGTGTGTATCAGCATGTGTCCGTGTGAGTGTGTTCGTCTGTGTGTGTGTACATGTGTGTGTGAGTGTGTTCGTCTGTGTGTGTGTCAGCATGTGTCCGTGTGATCGTCTGTGTGTGTGTACATGTGTCTGTGTGAGTGTGTTCGTCTGTGTGTGTCAGCATGTGTCCGTGTGAGTGTGTTCGTCTGTGTGTGTGTCAGCATGTGTCTGTATGAGTGTGTACGTGTATGTGTGCCTGCATGCGCGCCTTTCTGTGCAAGTCTGCGTGCGTCTGTGTGTGCGTCTCACCTTGGTCCGAGTCGGACTTCTCGGAGGCCGGGGTGGAGCCGGTGCTGTCCATGCGGGTCCTCTCCACCCCCAGCTGCTCCAGTCGTCTCCTCAGGTGCCGCCGCTCACGCTGGAGCTGCTCTAAAGTGTGCTGTGCTCTGCGGTCGCTCTCCTCCAGCCGCTGCAGACACACACTCGTTAACACACACAGGCCAACACACATGCATTAACACACAGTCAAACACTAGAGGGATTCAAGAGAAAGAGGCTCAAAGTCTTTTGCCCCAGGTCTAAATGTGCAACGGTAGAGTCTTGTTCTGAATTTATGTTTGAAAGAAAAATAAGAAAATGAATAAATGTTGTGAGAAAATAATTATGTTCTTTATTATTAAACTAAACTTGACTCACATTTACTGAGGTTCTTTTAAAGCATGTCGATCCAAAAGGACTTTCAATTTGATTCATTTCAAAAGGCGTGGATACAGTTCAGTATAAGGAAATTATTGGTACATTTATATTTCATTTATTTAAGATTGATGGTAAAAAAAAGGCTGATGTTCTGTGACTATAACAAAATGTATTTATTGAAGATAATAAAACAAATAAAATAAAAATAAAAAATATAGCTAAAAAAATACAATAATACTCAAAAAACTCAATATTGTGTCTAGTTCAAAAACATTGGTATTCATCTGAAAATCAATGTTAAAACACACCTCTTTTATTCACACACACTTAAAATTTGCTCCGTTTTTAAAATGACATTATCTGGTTACGTCTACAGCAATAAGCATTAAGTACAGGACATTTGAGCACATTGAGGGTCACAAACTCTGGCTCTCTGTGACCATAATGACACACTTACACTGTAGTCTATTTGCTTTAGTTGTAAAGATCCAGTGAGCAGTGAGCAGCTAGATAAATACGTTTTCCATTCTCTATGTAATCCTTTATTGGTTTCTCCTGGGGGAAGTTATTCTAGGCCATTGTGTGCTGCACAGACAGTAACAGGACATACTGTATACAGAACAACACAATACAGTACATGCAGTAACCGTTAAGACAGAGGAAGAACAATACATTTGATAATAAGTCTCTCCTGAGCGTCACTTATCAGCTTCACTGCACTAAAATCAAACCAGGTACGCCACAAATGTAGAAAGCTTTCTCTCCTAAAAACAGGCCAAAAAGTACAAAGTCCAGGGAGCAACGCTTATTTTGTTTTGTGCACTTCACTTGGTAGTGGTCCAACCCACAATGCTGAGCTTGGCAAACAAGAGGGATTCACCGAATTAGTGAACTTAAAATAATCTTGCTTTGTGTGCATGGTTAGGTAAAATGTGAGGCACTAGAATCTAATAATATTATGATAATTTATATTATAAACTATTAATATCCATAATATTATTCATGACACTATAGGTACTATACTATGAGAATTTTCAAAAAGAAGACTGGGTAGTTTGCGAAAGGACTTGAATAATTGCCATTGTTGATGGGTCTTAACAAATTTGGATTAGATTGTAACTGATCTTGTTTCCCCGCCCAGAGATGGAGACGTGCTGTCGGTCAATACAGCCTGAGCCAGTAACAGGGCTGGATCATGGAAGCAGAAGTTTCCATGTCTCCCCCGTGTCTCCTGCAGCACATGCACCTGATGCTTTAAGTTTATGCCTCTGTTCCAAACAAGAGGCTAAATATGTGATCAGTCTCATCTGAGGAACATATACATAATCAGTGCTTATAGGGTTATTTAAATCCTAATTTGGGAGGACTAAAAAAAATATGTAAAATTCCTACCTTTAGTTTTTTTATATACAGTAAAGTACATTTTGTGTGTGTGCGTCTCTGGCCCAAGCAGCCGCTCTGTTTACACACTGTAGGGGTGTAATAAATGCTTTGCTCTTTGTTCACATGTAACTTTAAATTCCTTAACCCTTTGCAAACCAGTCCAGACAGTCCCAGTCCCGCTGACCCAGGACGTGCAGTCCCAGTCCTTCTCCTTCTCTGATCCAGGACGTGAAAGTGGCCCCTCACCTTGATGTGGTCTTTGGCCTTCATGAGCAGACTCAGGGTGGTGTGTCTGCTGGTGTCTGGCCCCAATGGAACCAGGGATTTCAACCTCTCTAAACACAGCCGTAGATGTGCTCGTCTGTGAGGAGAAAAAAAAAGAGATTACTTTTTATTCAGGCAGAAAACGAGATTTCATGATCAAATGAATTTTATGAAAATATACACAGATTAAACTGTATACATACGTTTTGTTTGCATACTGTATATTTGTCTCCGCTCTTCAATAGCCTAAAGTGAACGTTGTCATCTTAGTCAAATAAAGATGACGTGTATTTAATTAAGCTGAAAGTGTGTGCAGTACATCATTTACGTGACATGGCCCCATCAGAGCTTACTCTGCAATCTTGCTTTTCCCCAAACGTCTCATAAATCAACACTTCCAAATGTAATTTTTATTAAAACAATAGAGGATATATCAGGAGAACATTAGCCATCGCTCAAATAGCCCTTCCAAGACAAATTGAGCATTTGTCTGTTTTTTAAAATAAAAGTACAGGGAGTTCTACACCAACACCTTTTGATAACACGTTAGCCAGCAGATTTGTATGCTCATTTATTACAAAACAACAAACAATTTAGCAACACAAGTGCCACCAAAAGTAAATTAAGTTCATGAAAAAAATTGGTAGCAGTGTAGAAGGAGATGGTCAGAGCAATATCCTGAGAATGCCAGAGAGAAGACTCAAATATGCATGAACCACTCTATGTATGGGTATCTGAGAGTGTGAATCGTTTTTACATCATGATTAAGGAGATCTCAAATTACGCAGTTATTGCAAGACAGCCCAGGAATTTACCTTAACTTAAAGTTTTTGCTGAGAAGAATGGGCTTCCGTGCCAATAGAGAGGATAAAGAACCTCCACAACCACCACAAAATACAAGCTAAGATCTTAAAGGGGATATATAACAATTGAGAACAGGGGTGGAGACTTCAAATCAGGGTCAAAAGAGTTTTCATTGTAATTTAAAAATAGAAAACCTGTTAATTTGAAAATAAATAGCTTCACACAACTCCCAGCAAAAAAGCCTCATCAATCACAATTTCCCGAATGCGAATGGTTTCAAGCACAACTGTAGCATTTGTAAGGTATACAATAATGCCTTGGGCCTTCAAAGTTTTAGCTGAAGTTTTTTACTTCAGTCTTGCCTTTCTCTGCCCCTCCTCCTCCTGCTGCTGTTGCTCGTAGCTATGGCAGCTGGATTTGAGGTGGGCGCCTGAGCACTTGACCGCAGTTACACAACCCACCTCCAGGCGACCGGGTGTGGGTGTCGCTGGGGGAGAGAAGGTGCGTTCGGCTTTGTCACTGGTTAAATGGTTTTTGGGCTCCACTTTGCCGAGTTCAGCGTGGAGCCGGAAGAGCTGCATTCAAATGAGTGGACACGTGAATTTGCCTGTGCTCATCTCGCTGAGCCACCTCCAACCATTCAAATGAGGCCAAAACTGAAGCAAAATAATATTACTATCTGAATTCAAAGTCATGAATGAACTAACGCAGTAGCACTATCTTGCAAAGTCAAAAGGGCAAAAGACATACGAGCTAACTGTGTAACTGAATGACTACTGTGGTTGTCAAATGTATTGAGACAAGATACTGACTTGAGCAAGTAAAATAACAAAAAACTTGACAATTATTTTAAACTGTACCAGTTAAACTAGTAAACAACAACTTTATATCTCAACAAAAAGTATTATTTAGCATTAAAAATAATTGTTTATAGTCCAAAAAGAGCATAAATAATCACAGTGGCATCATAATTGGTATCACGCATTAGAAAACCTTGTATCTTTTACATGGTGAGAGCTGATTGGCTGAGTGAGGACAGGTCCACTCTTGTTACATGGATTGTATTACTGCACTAATGGCCTCAAAGTTAGGTATCCCAACTTTAATAATTCGACTAAACCTGGAACAAAGAAGCATCAACTAAACCAAAGACTGATGTTTGTTTAATCTCCCTAAATGTGTACTTTTGAAGAGGAAACAGGCACAACATGCAAATGAACACATTCAAAGCAGCACACAGCTGACACGAAGAGCCTGCTTCTCAGCTGACAGTCCAAAGGTCACGCAGATTGTCATTACATAACATGGAAATGGTCTGGCCTGTTCTGACATAATAAGGATCGTTTAGGTTTGTTAATAAATACTGGGGCAGAGCAAAGCAGGTCACACAGAAAGAGTGGAGTGAGGATGTATACACAACAAATCACTGGGACGTCAATGTTTCAAAGTTTGTGTTTAAGTCAAGAATGCAGTGAGAAAAAAATCTAACAAATATTCACAATTACTGACCAAAGAAAAATCATCAATGTTGTAGAATGACCTTTTTCTAATTCACTTTTAGCCCAGATCTTCAGGCTACCAAGTAGTATCATCACTGTAACCCACAGAGCTAATGACTCATTACTTCATGATTCTTGCACTAGATTATTTATATATATATATATATATATATATATATATATATATATATATATATATATATATATATATATATAATTATCACAATTACTATTTTTAGATTGTACAATTACATAGAGATCCAAAGAATCCGGATTATTGCTTAACCTAATATTCTTTACAACCCTATTAAATACACTGAAGAATCATTTTTGTCCTTTACATTGACTGTAAAAATCCATAGTTAAAATGTCTTGGATGACATATTTTCATGGAGCCCACTACTGCCAAAAGGCATTTTGCAAGTTCAGCCAAAGTGATCTAGCTCAGAAAGTTTCCAGGGAAATGGCGTCACTCACTGGCAAGTTTTTTTTAATGGGCATTCCCATATACAGGACGTGTTTGTATACAATAAGCATGAACTTATGCTACATTTGTATATATGTAAAAGCATGAGTTTGTAAGTAAACATACAGTACAAGATAACTATTCGACAGTCTCTGGTTATGTGAAGTGTGGTAGACTACAGTAAGGACGATAAATGTGTACCATATTTTTAGAAACTGATTTTCTGAGTGAATGTGTAATGTTTTCACTGAACTGAATTGATATATTTTACGGACCTTTCCACAACTCACTCTTGAAGTACACTTACAGCCAGTGGCGGACCCTCAATGCCGGCAAGGCCTGCTCTGCTGGCCTAAACATGATTACATATACATATATAATTTTTCTACTTATTATTTTTTCTATGCTTACCTGAAGAAGGTGAATACATCGTTCTGGTAACTAAATAGTTAGAACGCCTTTCTCAAGAAGAACAGAGACAGAGGGACCAGGAAAGCCAGGACCAGGAGAGCCAGGATTTTTGCCCCTGGTAATAAGTTTGTCAAGAAGCAAACCTGCGGAACTAGGCAATGCAGAAGACACGGCGCCGCGTCCTGCCTCACCACCGGTAAGAAAAACAACATTAAAACTCCATCCAATACTTATATTGTAGTTGGACTTTCCAACTGGGTCCTGAACGCTTGTGTTGCAGTTGGTCTTGTTCTCATATACTGTCAGAGAGAAAGTTACGCATTGTGCTCAGGTGCGTCATACGTGTGTGCAAAATACAGAGATGTGCCTTCTGTCATTATAACACAGAAGGCACACTGTCTTTGTGTGTGTCTGTGTGTGTGTGTGTGTGTGTGTGTGGGGGGGGGGGGTCTGTGGCACAAAACATTTTGGAGATCGCTGGGTTAGGACATCACTGCAAGTGCAGGTCTTTAATGCATGGCCCGCCACTGCTTACAGCCACTTGTACAAACGGTCCAAGGTCAGTTTGTGTCTTATCTGCAGCCTGTCGAGCCCCAACATGACATTTCTGCCACAGAAATGTCATGAAAACATTTGTAACGTGTGAGTCTTCTCCACCCTCTCACCCACTGAGAGCTTCGTCTGGGTCAGCAGAGCAGCAGTTGGCCTCATGCCTTGGGGACAAGACCTCTGGACCCTGAGCGTAGCATTGCATAGCTAGCATCAACAGTCCAGGAAGGAACGGACACTCGCACATAGAGGAGCCTACACATTCATAATTGTTGTCCATAACTAATATATGGCAAAGTTATTGTAAACTGGCACTTGGTTTTTCAGAGTGTCTGTTGAAACATTATGGTATTCGGTTCTAGTGTCTGTCTTTCACTGTGATTGGTTTAAATTATATGCACAGGAAATTGAGCTCACTAGTCCTGCCTTTCTCGCTCCAGTTTCCCAGGTCCAGAAGGGAAAAAAACACCTTTCCATGAGCCAGAGAACCGATAAAATGGAAACCTAAGAGTTTAACACAAAATTACTGTATTACTTCCTGATTGTAACTCCGTATCCCATGAACCTTTAAGACATGGTGCCCACAAGTCTTGGAAACTGGTTCTTGACAAGCTCGGTGAATTTCTATTTGTTAAAAATAACACTTCTTAAAGAGTTATATGGTTGCACACAATCAATATCCACAATGCTCCTGTGGACTCACCACCTGCAGGGGCATCAGTGAGGGGCTGCTGCTCTGTGTACCGACCCCCGACCCAGAAATGGATTAAGGGGAAGAAAATGGATGGATGGAAGGAAATTATAAGTAGCTAGCAGTATGTTAAGCTCAACAAATCACAAGCCTAGTAGTGGGATCATGGGACTAAAGCACTCTGGGTGTGGGTAAATCTCACTGCTAATTTACACAGGAGGCGTTACAGCACGTACGCGTTATACGCGCAGCAGATGCACGTAACATTTCTCCATGTTAACCAATGGGGATATTTACACTACTAGTGTAACTTATACGCGAGTATGACGGACGTATGACGCGAGGCTGCACCTAATTTTGGATGGATTTCTAATTTTGTGCGTGCAGCAACGCGTCTCCCATTGAAAACACATGTGAAACATGATTTTTCTAGCGGCCCTTGGCTGTAGATTGCATCTATACACACACACAGCACTTGTATCTAAACATTAGCAGGAGGACTGGCAGGTTTTACAGTGATTCTGGACATTGTTTTTTTTTTCTTTCATAAAGTCTGGCGTCAAAACCAGCGCACAGAGACCATGAAGACAAACACATACATGTGATTTGTGTTGCTCTACATCAATCCTCTGGCCCGTACTGTCCTCTACACTGCTCCATAGACTACACAGGGAGAGCATCAGAAGCCGCGGATCTGCGAGCACGGCCAGTGGACATACACCCAAATAATGTTACGTGCATGTGCGCGCAGTCAACGCCTACTGGGGAAATTCCCAGTAAGGCGAAGATTTTGCAATTACGTTTTTCTGAAACTACATTGAAACATGTTTGTTTGCCTTTCAGATTGCTTTTAATGAGACTTTTTTCTGAAATTCATAAAGCCTCATAGAAAAAGTGCATTTTACTTCCGGACCATGAAGCTCTGCCCACTTCCAAGTTTGATGATGAAAATATCGTTTTTTTTCCTACAGGTAATTTTGTTTGATTTTATTTTATGAATAAATATGGGGGGAAAATCCAAATTCTTTATCATTTCAGTATTATTGCATTGGGTGAGTTGAATGTAACTTTAATGGACTGTTACATGAACAGTTTATAACTTTTCAACTTGGTTAATGAATAACAGCAACAGTGAGTCAATAAACGATAACAGAACGAACAGATCCTGACCAGACTAATGACAGTTGGAGTTACAGGTGAATATTTCATCAGCCAATCATCTGCTCCAATGGACGAGTTTCCCTTTGATCGCAGCATTTTTGCATATAAAAAGAGCTGCTTCTTTGCTTCGAGTAGAAACATTAGTTGCGGTAGTCTTCAAAGTGAATTATTCATGCAGCACTTGAAAATATTTTTTTAACAGTCCATGGTGTAAATGTGATTGCCCTGAGAGGCCTGTAAAGTCCCAGAGAAGCACACACACATGGACTTTAGATTGAAGATGTAAGTGTAAACAAGTCGTAACCATCACCAGATGCCACTTAATAATCTCACACCTCCTTACTTTACATGTTCAAATGTTATTTAAGACATGTATCCATGCCTTTATACCCATTTTTTACATTTTTATAACTTACTATAAAATATGGTGCATATACCAAATCAAATTCCTAGTTTGTGACTTTTGGTTACTTGCAATGGTAATAAAAACAATTTAGATTCTGATATGCCAACTCATTAGAATTTTAATGATTATGATTCTTTCTTTTTTCTGTGTTTTTGTAATGAGTCTGTCATATATTTGTCTCACATTGTAATCCCACATGTACTTTTGAACAATATTCTAATTTTCTGACTTTCACCTGAACATTAGCACAGAGCACAGTCTGTTTGCTTAATAAATTAAGAAAACTTTCCTTGCATGAGAAAAGTGTTGGAATAAACATCACCAAAGCTTCATCTGTTGTACTGGCTGAGCAGAAGAAAGACAGCGGATTGGGAAGAAGGGTGTAACGCTGGATTTGGTCTGAACACTTTGGGTTTCCAGTGAGTAATTTACTACGTTCCATCGGATTATGTGGTGGGAGAAAAACTGGCAGGAAAAGCAGCGGATGCTTCTCGAGTTGTAGCACGGCGAGTTCCGCTTCTAATTTTGAGTCAAGTCGAGGTCTGAGGCTTTGTAAAGAGGCGCGATATGCACAGAGCTGCTGGGTTCCATGTATTATTCAGACCAAGTTTGGATCAGCTCACAGGGTGGTGGCTTAGAGCAGGCCACGCAGGGAACAACGACAAGAATAAATGTAACGCTGTACACAGGAACAGGAGAAGAAGGGAAACACAGAAGGGAGTATGCACTTCATCAGGTCGGTGGTCAAAAAGAGCAATTCAAATCACCTGCAGTTTTTCTTAATAGCCACATCATTATTTTGGTGAGTATAGAGCTGCAGCTAACAATAATTTGATAGTCAATTAATCCAGAGATTATCATTTTGATGAATCGACCATTGTTAATTTCTATGTTAAATAACTGTCCATAAAAAAAAAAAATGATGTACACTGGGAGGGAGTCTATGTTTTTTTCTCTCCATTATGAGCTGATAAATTGTAAATAATATTGTGAATAAAGTTGTAAATATATGGTAAAACTGTGCTATAGTGTACAGTAGGCGATGATGAATGGAACTACAGTCGTTCCTAGTTTATCACAAGGGTCACATCCTAAAAATAACCCGCAATAAGTAGCAGAAGTTGCAAGTATATGTTTTAAGGCTGATAAAAACTCTCCAAGCACACTTTTCTAACCACCTGAACTCATGATTGTTGAAGTGCGATTGCGGAGATATCCAAACTTACATCATTACAGCAAGTGAATATATAAATTCATCTCCTGGCTAATTACCACTGATCTCTCCATCTCTCTATTGTTCGTCAGTCAGCGCCTTAAGTTTGACACATTACAGAGTGTGCATGCTTGTTTACACTTCGACCAAGTCTATCAATAGTCGTATCTCACAGTGAAGTGCCTGCAGTGGAGTTTTGAAGTCCCTTTGGCAGCCGGAAGCTTTTCCTGCGCCAACTTGGACGTCTTCCTTCAGATAATTTTGGTTCCTCCGACTCGTATGACATAAAGCAGATTGACGTTGTTCGAGGTGATGTAATAACGTTGGTGATATGACCAGCTTTAATTCAGTCTTTCAATACTTCCTTTTGATGTATTTTTGATATCTCAATTCACAGTCACCAGCCCTTGGAAAGAGATATAGAATCCACAAATGCAGACCATAAAAAAGATTATCGTCAAAACCTATCGGGCTTTTGAAAGACAGAGCTCTGAGGGGTTAACCTAGCAACAGGCTCCTAGCACTGCGCTGCTGAACGGAGCGTTTTAAGAGATCCTTTGTTTCTTTCGGCTATAAGACGTTCTGTCTGAGTTAAACATGTGCACTATGGTTAGTAACTTTTAGAATGATGTATCTATTACTGTTTGTGTGGATGGATGCGTTTCTGCTGGTGGACACCTGAATCTATCCATCTATTTGTTTATATATCTATTTCTGATCAACTAATACAGGACATTGTTGCTCTAACCATATTTTTGAAAGTGTACAGTACTTTAATCAGTCCTTCTCAAACTGTGGTGCATGTACACTGTCGGTGTTTGAATTGACTCATTTTGGAGGCATCTAGATTTCTCATAAATTCAGTTACTGACATTTAACCCACACTTTTGTCCTTACACAATTCATGTTTATGGCCGGTTTTGATCTGATGGCACAAAAGAGTTGATACATGAAGTGAAAATCTTGAGAAACAGGTCACATTTTCTGAAGAGAAATATAAAGTATAAATTACATACCTGTTTTTTTCCATTTCATTGTGCGTAGACCTGTGGGCAAAAAACAAATACACCGGTTAGATATTGAAAGTACATATAATATTCAAATCATTTCCAAGATCACTGCGCAAAGCATCAACAATGACAGGTCTATGACTACAGTTCAAGTGGAAATGAGCAAAAGAATAAGAATATGAAATACGTAATTTGATAAAATGATAGAAGCAGCTGCCTTGGAGGACGCATGTGTTTTTATGAGGCTGGCTTCATGGGTAAACATAGTAACAGTAACCAGAAACAGCACAGACACTAAAGTCCAGTCATTATCCACTCGGGCTTGTACGGTTTCCTTACTATTCTTTCGTTTCACAGTCTTGTGTTTTGAGTGTCCAAATATAGTCAAAGGCAAAGGGGGTAGAGATTATGTTTTCAGGTGGGAAAACAATGTAACGGAACAATGTGAGGAAAATATTTGTACAATATTTTGAATGGGACAGAATTAATTCACATTTACTGCTGTAAATACACCAGCATTAGATCAAGGCTAGTTTTGAATCCAGTCTCTTTGTACATGTTTTTAGTGTTAGGGGAAACCGCAGCAGGAGGACGGTCTGAGGACAGTGATGATCCATAAACATTTACGAACATTGGTTATCCCACAAAGAATATGTATATGCATATCATATCTTGATATTCTAGCCAGATATCTCAACACAATATGATATAACTATAAGCTTGGTAAAAACTTTGATTTGTTATTTTGAGTCTTCCCATCTCTATTGATACAAAAACGATTTAGCTCAACTAGGAACTGAAGGCTTCCATCCATCCATCCATCCATTTTCTACCCTTTAATCCATTTCTGGGTCAGGGGGGTGGCAGTCAGAGATGCCACCCAAGTCTCATAGCACCAGACCCTCACTGACCCTCTGCAGGTGGTGAGTCCACAGGAGGACGGCTGCTCTGTCAGTCTGAGCATAGCCTTGATCTTTCAGTGGGGGGCTTTGGGCAAAGTGGGGTTAAGTGTCTTGCCCAAGGACACAACGACAGCAGTCATCAGTGGGAGTCGGTGGAGAAGGTGTGGAGGTGGGAATTGAACCCACGACCTTCAGGCCTGATGGCCAGTGCTCTACCAACTGAGCTACTGTCGCCCTTCGTAACTGATGGCTTCTATGCGTTTTATTATTGCATTTCTAGTGTTTTAATTGTTCAATAAACTTGCGGACAAATTTATATGTCCTCCTTGCGGACAAATATTGTGATGTCCTCCAAGTCCACTGCTGTTGTGATTTGGACTATACTGTAGGAAACCTCAGTAGAAACAAGGAGAACGTGCAAACTCTGAGAGCCTCACTAATGCACCACCGTTTTGCACCTACGTCAACATAAAATCAGGTCTGAAACTAGTCTTATGATGGTATATTTAGGTCTTTTAATGTCAGTCACAGTGACCATGCAGCACCATATTCCTAGAAAAAAAACACAGGACAGGACTAAGACTAAGAAGAGAAACAGGGTAAGGAGAAGTTTTTGGTCGTGTGCAAATTGGGGCAGGTGGGTAGTGGCCGGGGCAAGAGCCTGAGAAGGGGATCCACTCTTCTTCACCACATTGTGACCTTTCTAATCTTAGCTCAAGAGTAAAAGACACACCCCCTACTTGGCACGAGGGTACTGGCTCTGGCTTTAGGTGGATCTGTACGCTAAATGAGTGTTCAGATAATTCAATATTGTCTTTATGTGCTGTTGGATTATTTACTTAAAACTATTACAGAACAAAGTAGAGATTTGCCATTCAAATAAGAAGGCTCTATCTGCAATCTGGGTACTTCCAAGATATTGTTTAAAGATACGGGCATTTTTAAGACAATAGATAAATAATATTTGTGCAAAAAATATATATCATAAAAATAAGGTTATACAAAAGGTATCCAGGACTGAGAATATGCCAATAACTAACAGATAAGACCTTTTGATTCAAACGAGAAAACCTTTGTTAGTGTATTTCTGTGAATCTCAAATCCAGGGCAATTCAGGTTTAAGGGTCATTTCAGGAATTGCACAATTACTAGACAAGTCTGAGGCTTTGGTGTGCTGACCATGGAGAGGAGAAGCCAAAAGTACAAGATTATCCCGGCAGATGTTCTTTAAATGCTGTGATCTAGCTTCTGGAACAGACAAGCCATTTGACTATCACACTTAGTATCCAAATAGTATCAGTGGGCTTTGTTTAACTATTTTTGAAGGCTGATATTCTTGAACATTATTGGAAGAAGTAAAACTGATAACTATTATGTGATTGCATAAGGAGATTGTATTTCATGGAAAAGCTTTTGTGAGTGATTTGTATGCAGATGTGTGGTGAAGGGTAGGGAACATCCTGTTATTTTAGCCGTCTCTTGGGAGCACTGGAGCTGGCCACCTTGAGTCTGGATGCATTCCTGTTTGGGTCAGACACTGGTGACATAACTGAGCAGTGAAATGATCCAGTTTCAAGATACGGTCCTGTGCACTGGTCCCACTGAAAGTCAGCCAGTGGAGGCAGAGCACAGAAGATGGAGGATTGTGCAAAGCGAGAGTCCCTATGCTAAGGCTAGACCAGTTTTATTGGGGCTTCACATTGAAGTTTATAACATGAAGGTATTTCTATTGTTGAATCTTAGAGAAAATTGTCATGATTATTAGAGCTGGGTTATCTTTTGGAGCCTGCTTTTATGCATGACATATTCACTTGTTGGACAATATAAACCACACCGCCTAAATATTAAAATGTAAGTATTATTTATGCAATACAATATAGGTCTGAATGATTCGACACGGTTCAGTAAAATATGACTTTTGGCCAATTGATGCATTTTATTTAATTGATTGAGGAATGTTATTTAAGTCAACATGTTTATGAAAAAAATTTGAAGAACAAAAATATGAAATTGAGAACATATCTATATTTAGAAATGTTGTCAAAAAGGTTGTAATCTACAAACTCTTATGTTTTCAGCAGTACAAATGAGAAGCTTTGCTCAATAAGGGGCGAATATGTGTTTAAGTATATTTGTATCCAATTTAAAAAGTGTAGAGGCTTTTTGAAAATACACTTTTATATTGCATCTACATGTTTTATCTGTCTCCAGACTTGAGGAAAACATCAACATTATAGTATAACCTTTTCTGATTAAAATATTGATTTACGCTCAATTTTTAGTCGAGTTGTTACTACTACTACTCCTACTACTTAACATGGTGAGGGAGATGTGGCGCAGCAGAGAACAAAGTTGGAGCTGGAAGTAATTTTAAAATGAGGTTTGTGTACAGGCTAATATCAATTTCATTTATTTTTCTCATTCAATCAGAGATGGCAGCCTAACATTGTCTTGGGACACACCAATATTTCCAGATAGCACAATAACGGTCAGAACATTGTAATATGTGGTTTTCAAACACACTTAATATACCCTGATCTAGTTGCAGGAAGAGATTACAGTATTACAGTTGGGATATTAACAAACAGTGAAAATACAATGCTGGCTGCAGCAGTGACAAATCCAGTCCATTTGTATTATGATCCCAGTTATCTAGTATTTAAAGCAGACATAACATACCTCTGCCTGCTACATATGACAAAGGGGCATTTATATATAGTACATTTAAAAATCTAAATTTTGAGCTAAAGTTATGGTATTAAAGAAACAAGTTTTCACTGTTTTTATGGGCTGAGCTATGTTAGCGAACCATGGGTATTACTGCTTTCAATAAAAAAAGTACTGCAGAACGCTGGCGAATCATTTGTGTATCACAGATTAAAGCAAACAAATTAGACTTTTGTAGTGGCAATGGTCAGAAGAGTTAGAGGAGAGCAATGTGCTGAGAATAAACGATTCTACTTCTTCAAACGGGCATGAGTTGCTCTAAAAAAAAGTTTGAGGATGTAAAGGACAAGCAAAGGCGTTTCCCCTGTGACATGTTTAAAAGCTGTGAAAAGTCAATGTTGCATGTCATCTCCCCTTTACCTTATCACTCAGAAGTGTTGTTGGAAGCATCAGAACAGGTGCATGTAGACATAATGTCTCCTCAGAGTAAAAACGTCAATGTTTGCAAATGCACCTTGTTGATATGTTCACACTGCTGCTTTAACAGCTCCATCTCCACAAGTAAACACAGACGATGCAACTACGTCTCCAGTCTGTTTGCTAGCCATACACAGACGCTGCTTTGAGCAGTATGTTTATAAAGCATAAGAATACCAAGTATGTTTAAACGACAAAAACGCACTCTTTTCAGGGTCATTTTCAAACAGGTACGACTAGTTTTGGTCTCGCAGCTTCAAACAAAGTTGCCAATAATGAAAGATAAGATAGCTATTCCTGCGCTCTTGAATGCACCTGCTGACCCAAATCTAAAAAGGATCCATTTTACAAAGTTACATGCCAGCTCAACTGCAGAATAAACGATCGATCCAGTTATTCCAAACTGACTGGTTTTCCACACCCATGAATCTACATGGGTCTTGTTCAATAGAATTCAATTGTATTAGGTGAAGGATCCAGTTTTTTTTATCCACAATGCTTTGCAAAAACACTCACTGAAATAAACAGTGCAGCCGTCCATTTTCCCTTCTCTACACATATGACAGCCACCCCATGTGATTTCTGTGGAGGCTGCTTGCTCTCACACATACATACATGCAGGAGAGAGGGGGAGGTCCCTTCATCTGTGTAATGGAGGAGCTGCTGGTTCTCTCCAAAGCTTTGCCAAGAGCAGGAAGGGTGGAGGAGGTGAGGAGGAGTAACATGGGGGAGGGGAGTCACTATAGCATCACTGACAGCATGTACATCAGCTCCAGCAGCATCACGTTGGCTAAACCCTCCACCAAGAATCGCTCTACTGCCCTACATTTCAGATCTACAAGTAAATTAAGTCATGCTCGGTTCAAACCACCAACACATTACTTCATTTTACAATAGAGCACTTATGTGTAATCTTTATAATAATGTAGGGCAAAATGTGGGAAGAATGTTATCCAAGGCCGTGACAGCTGAGAGCACTCAGAGGATTTA